GATTCTATGATTCTATGATTCTACGTTGTTCCATGTGGGGCGAAATCCTGTGGTCACCGCCGTCATTAGTAAAATGCCCGACTGTCCCCACTGATCCCTAAAGCCAAGGCCAGAAGGGACCAGTGTGATCATCTAGTCTGACCCCCTGCACAGCCCACTGCCCGCTATCACTCCTACAGCAGATCTCTTAGAAAAGCAGCAAATCTCCATTTAAAAATGGTCAGTGACGGAGAACTCCCCAGGACCCTTAGTAAATTGTTCCAGTGATTAATTATTCTCATCGTTAAAAACTGACACCTTATTTCCAGTCTCAATTTGTCTAGTGTCAACTTCCAGCCATTGGCTTGTGTGAGACCTTTGTCTGCTAAACTGAAGAGCCCATTGCTAAATATTTGTTCCCCATGTGGGTACTTACAGACTGTGTCAAGTCCCCCTGAACCTTCTCCTTGGGTGGAGGGATGGCTCAGTGGTTTGAGCATTGGCCTGCTAAACCCAGGGTTGTGAGTTCAAACCTTGAGAGGGCCACTTAGGGATCTGGGGCAAAATCAGTACTTGGTCCTGCTAGTGAAGGCAGGGGGCTGGACTCAATGACCTTTCAGGGTCCCTTCCAGCTCTAGGAGATTAATTAATTAATGGAGATATCCTATTTATTTAAAGATAAGCAGATTGAGGTCCTAGGGTCTATCACTATCAGGCAGGTTTTCTGATTCTTTATTCATTCTCGTGGCTCTTCTCTGACCCTCTCCAATTATCAACATCTTTCTTGAACTGTGCACACCACAACTGGACACAGAATTCCAGCAGTGGTCGCACCAGGGCCACATGCAGAGATCAAAGAACCTCTCTGCTCCTACTCGAGATTCCCCCGTTTCTGCATGAGCCCTTTTGGCCCCAGCGCTGCATGGGGAGCTCATTTCAGTGGATTATGCACCACGACCCCCAAATCTTTACCCAGGGTGCCCTAGTCTTTCCCGCTGAGTTTCCTGCTCACCCCCATTTTCCTCAGCTGAGCGCCATGAACAAGCAGGCTGCACTCAGTTCCCTGTCAGGCAGCAGCAGCATGCCAATCCTGTGCCCACGGAGCACCCCCTGTAGGCCAGAGCGACACTGTATGGGCTAAGGGGATCAGGGCCTACATCCTGATTAACCATGGGCAGGAAAGAATCCAGCTGAGGAGAGTGCTAGGAGCTGGCAAACCTCAGTGAGATGCCCAAGCCGAGTGCTGTTGGCACAGGAGTTAGGGATGGAAAACAGCAGCACCCGACATTTACACAGTGTCTTTCACCCCCATAGGACCACAAAACCCTTGGCAAGCTCTATGCAGCATTCTGCTTCCCTGCTAGCGACATGCAGCCACCTCTGGGGTGGAACCTGGCAGCTGGAATGCCACACCTCAGTGGGCTGATCCTAGAGGCGAGTGGAATGCACCCATCTCTTATTGGGTGCAACAGGAGCTTCAGTGGCCCCTTAGTCAGAGCCCATGTGTTGCATCTCATGAGAGCTGACCCAGCAGCACAGCACCTGCTGGCTGGGGTATGGGCTTGGTACTGACTCCACGGGATGGGCAACCCCCAGGGACCCAACACTGCCAGTGGGTCTCCCATTCATAGTGACTCAGCCCCAGACTGCTTAGCTGGCGAGCAACGAGGGACCACAGAGGGCACTGAGATAACGGCCTTATCAGCCAGGTACTTGGGGGCTTTCTGACTCCAGCCCATGCCTTAGGAGCTCCCGCTGGGAGAGGATGAGTTCTCACATCTCCATCTGCCATGGGAACATGGGATCCCATCTCCTCTGCATTCAGGGCAACGCTCACACACCAGTGTCCATCCCCCGTCCCCCCCCCAAAAACATAACCACAAGGCAGAGGGGTTCTAGGCAAACCTTTATGCTGCCATGCCAGCAGGCTCCATAGCAACGAGTATCCATACAGGCCGTGAGGTACTCCAGAGATCCGGGAACCCCCACATTTCAAGGCACCAATTTCGTTTCGCATTACTGCTACAGCCGATCTTAGCAAAACCCAACCATGACATGCCACGGTGAGGCACACCTCCCTGCGTCCATCCTGCTGGCCCCAGGGGCTGTCTGTTAGGCCAGGCAATGGACACAGACACTCCTCCAGCTTACAGTTTAACTGTACTTATATAAACCTTTCCCCCGTTGGACTCTGTCAGTTTCCTTTTCATCTCCACCCAGATACCATTGGATTGATTCGTTCTGCACAATTAAACGGCTGTCAATTAGCAGAGAGAGAGCTCATTAATTAGATCAGGCCCCAAAGTCAATGGAAATCACACTTGCCCCTAACTGTCAGCTGACACTACTGGACTTCCCTTTGATTGCTCGCGCCCGCTCTAATTGCATTGCTCCGATTCAAATTAGAGTTCTTTTTTTAAATATCGCCCACTGGCCTAAAGCGCTCTGAATCCATCACGGACAACAACAATTTGCCTCTATGGCTTCATTACGGGAAGCCCAGGGCCCCCTCTTCTTTCCGAGGCCACAGCCTCTCTCCTGGCTCTCCAGCCTTTCACCTCAAAGCGCCCTTAACGAATTGCCAGCGCGGCCTAAAAACTACCTTGCTCTTCGGGGGAAAGGGGGAGAGCGAACAGGAGCCCAGCACTGTCACTTGTGCCCCGCCTCTACCCCCCGCGCCCAATGGGAGTCTTTAAATATTTACAAGCCCATTTACACTCGTCTCCTGCTCTGCTGTGCAGAGGCAGTCGTTACTAGTAGACTGATCTCTCTGAGCAGTTCCCAGCGTGGTGTGTGCTGGTGAGGCCGTCACATGGCCGCCAGCTGCCCCAGCACCATCCTGAACTGCTGTGTGCTGCTGGCCAGGTCTTTGACCCGCTCCACCATGTCCTTGGCAGCGGAGGGGGACGGGTAGTGGAGGGCGGCGGCCTTGGTGGTCACCACGATCTCCTTGAGCATGTCACACAGCAGGTTGCTGTAGTGGGTGACCTTGTGGCGCACGTCCTGCGCCCGGGCTTGGCGTGACAGGGTGTCGCCGATGAACACCAGCTTGTGGGCGCTGAGGATGACGAACTTGCTGTGGGCCACGAAGATCTTGGGTGGCTGGTTGGTGCCCACGGCGGTAAAGAAGGCGTCCACGGCGTTGGTGAGCGTGGTGAGGTTGGCCTCGCACTGCTCCAGGTAGAAGAGCAGCAGCTGGTGGTCGGAGGGGCACAGGGTGCTGCTGCCCCGCACCTGGGCGTAGTGCTGCGGCGGCGTCCAGCTGGAGAGGTCGTTGTCGATGGGGCGTGTGACCTCCTGCTCCAGCCGCTCAAACTGCTTCAGCTGGGGGGAGACGGACAGCAGGTTAGGGGCAGGGCGTGGGCAGGCCTGGCTGAGTACGACAAAGTGCCCCTGCGGCCCCCTCCCCGTGGCTGGCTCCCGCAACAGCTACTGCCTCAGCCAGAGGAGTCAATACCACGCACCTCTGCCACAGTCTGGCACTGTCAATGCTGCCCGAGGGGATTAGGCGCTAACTCCCTTTGTTCTTGAAAATCCCTTAGTGTCAAAGGCCCCAGGTCCATCCTGGCTGATGGCAGTGGGGTCAGCACGCCTAGGCCTGGCTCTACTCGCTGACTGGGACACAGACAGACACCCCATTGCAAGCAAGTGTGTTCAGAGCCCCAGCCCTAGGCATCAAGGGAAAGGGGAGCAGCGAGGCTCAGATAAAAGCATGGCCACGGGGGAGGGAGCCGGCGTCTGTCCCTGGCCTGGCCTGGCCACGGGGGAGGGAGCCGGCGTCTG